AAGATTCGTCCTCGAATCTTCCGAGTCCGACATCCCTGGAGCTGCCACACTTATCCTCAGTGCCAGTACTCACAGGGCCGGCATGGGAACCACTGTAAAAACCGAAAGGGGCGAGCAGGTCACAACCGGGAATCGAACCCGAGTTGTCCGCTTGGCGGTCACCAACGCTAACCACTACACTAAAAGGTCGCACGACCATTTAGCATGGTCAGTTAGCACTGTTACACACACATTCCGTTTATGAGCAGATCATATGAGATTCTGTGCCATTACAGGTGTTCACAAAAATACACACCTGTTTGATCTGAAAAAACAAAACAAAAACAAAAAAACACAATTTGTGACCTTTTTCCACCCTCACGCTATAATGTTATCATTCAAGGACACAGAGAGATTCTTCTAAGAATCCTCAACTTTGTTGCTGAATAATTTTGGCCTGTAGAAACCAAAACCGTAAGAATGACGTGTCCAAAACATTAACACAGCTAACAGACGACAAAACAAAAGGGGGAGGGGGGCTCGGTTTTGTTACAATATCTCCGATAATGTGAAGGGGATGGCAAAATCGCATAGCTCATGACAATATAGACATCTTCACACCTATATCTGTGTAGACGACGGCACACAGGGCGCCGCTAACGCCGACAACGACCAACCAATGTTGATCCCCCATTCCAGTAGAGCCACCGGTAGCCATGTTGGACTGTCGCATTGACGGTATGGGGAGGAGTAGCATACACAGTAGGGAGGGCAGACGACCATGTCGGTACAGGAAAAATCAATATGTTTGAATGAAAATTTGCGTGTTCGCCAATGCAGCACAATAAAAGTGCCCTATTTTTGTCCCTTTTGATGTAAATAGCGATCTGCTAGCAGCAGATTTTGTTCCTAAAGTAAAATTCCAGCGGTAATTTTCCATCACTTTGCGATTGCCGGCCCCACGTGAGTGGACTAGTCTAATTAAGGGTAGCTCGTTGCAATCGCGAATTTATCTCGCAAAAAGTAAGCCACAATACAAACGTTTACACTTAACAACACACCATTTTCGAGCAATCATGCAAATATTTCACACAATCGTGTAAAAATTGTCTAAAAATATCAAAGAACCGGCGCGTCAGCCAATCAGAGAGCAGATTTATGTGTCGTCACGCCCATGTGACCGTCCCGGGGTATAAATTCCCGCGCCGGCCTGTCTTCTGTCTTCTACACACAGATCCACGAGGAGAGGGGCTACGCACGATCGTCCTAAAAATTAAAGCCATGTCTGCCGAAACTTCTACCCATCACATGAACGGAGACGTCCCTAGGACCTTCCTGTTTACGTCAGAGTCCGTGGGAGAGGGACATCCAGGTAGGTTTCGTGTATTTTTTGTTCATATTTGACCCAGAAAGATCGATGCTCACATAATTTGCTCCCGCGGCCGAGCGATTCGAAAGCGGACCCCGACATTTTTTTGCGGGTAGACGTCTTCTTACTGGTCATCTTTTAGTACCTCTAAATACGTATCTACCTGCTTCTATGACCTTCATACCGTCTTCTAGTGTTGTAAGTTTAATTTTCTTGATTTTGGAGAGAGATTTGAGGTTGTAGAGGAAGTTTTATTGGCAGGTGCAGATTGGAGTGAAGACAGCTCCCCACCCGCAAGCCACATGGGACGGCCGGTTGAACCGGTGGCTATTATCAGACTATTTTCGTTGTCGGTCATCCACAAGCCCCGTGACAATACATACACCACCATCCCACGTGCATAATTTTACCGCAAATTCTGAAACACATAAGGGAACATTCAATTATTTTTTTACCCTCGTGATTTGAAAGAATTTTCTACCGACCTCATGCGGTATTGCATAGTCATGCAGTGTCATACATTTGCTTCCTTACGCATAATTTTCCTACCGCCCATGTTGACAATGAACTTGCTCGCTAAACATTCACGAAATACGATATTTTCTCGATCATCATGAAGTCAAATCATGAATTCCAACCCACGAATTTGACGCAATCGTGACGTTTTTGATGCTCCCAAGTTTCTAACCATTCGCCGGCCGGCCTGGATTGTGATCGTGTGACGTAGCGGTAGCTAGTGTGTTTATGTCGGAACTGAGAGGTCCCCGGTTCGAACCCTACCTTGTCACCGATCTTGTGCCCTTGTGAAAGACACTTTACACGACTATCCTCACTTTACTCAGGTGAAAATGTGTATGCAAGAATGATCATTATCGTGATCGTGGGCATTAAAGAGAACCAAAAAAGCACGCAGGCTTTATGTAAACAATAACACGAGGGCCGGCTGACGCAGCTCTTTATTTTGGAGGTATCGTTTGACTGGTTCGAACTGGATTTAACCGGTGGAGGCCCGATCGCCCTTTATTTTGTTGGGAATAAACAAGTTGTGAACCTAAGTAGTCACCTTGCCACCTTACCCGTACGTTCATTTAGCTTACCGGTGAATGCACGTCTCACTATCAACATGTTTTGAGACCAGGAAACGAACAAGGATGTCACCCAGGCTAGGACAAGTAGAAAGAGTTCTTGAACTGGCCTGATCAGTGGTCAAGAGAGAACATGGTGCCTTGCATGTAGATTTTCACAGATTAGGAAAGAAACAAAACATTGTGAAGTACAGGCTCTTTACTCTCATGTTCTTTGCTTTTGAATGAAAATACAGCTAAATGTCCTATTGTAAGGGGAGGGGCAAATGTATACACTAAATGTAATACTAGTATATGTAAACCAAGTGAAATCAGCACATTTGTCTGTGTTATTGAGATAACCATGTATTCTGATGTGGTGAAAAACACATATAATGTTCCAACACCAGTAGTTGGTCAGTAGAAACTGGTTTGTAAGGTTGTTTTTGTGATTAGAGTCAGGGTCACTGGGTATTGCATCATTTCAGTAGCCCCAAATCCTGGTTGGGGGAAGATAGGTGCCTCTTGCTGGAGTGAGTTTGCACTTTTGGGGCTCTGCAAACACTGGTCAACAATGTGCTCTCTGGATGACCCTTTTTTTCCTCAAAAGCCTTGAAAATGTTGGAGAGAGGGCAGTATGCGTAAGTTCAGAAGAAGAAATTTACAAAGTCAGTGGTTGTCAGTATTTGGGGTATGTTTGTGTAGCGAAATTGTGGCAAAATTGACTCATCCAAAAACTACACAATGTTCATTAATAACAAAGATGTAAACTGTTACTTTTTGTCTGCCCTTACTTTTTGTCTTGCCCTCAGGGCAACTATAGTTGCAAATGTCATATATAGATACGTAGCTTGTTAGGACCAAGTGGTCACATGCTGGTCAGCCCAACCACATGTGGTCTTTGATTGAATGAGAATAAAGTTGCTCACATGATGCAAATTTACCAATACTGGAGATTAACAGAAGATAAAAGTTGTCTGATGATCCTAGTTGAAAGAAACTGGGCTGTCCCTTCAATGAATATTTATATTCTCAACTGGTCATCATGTGATGCCCACAATCCTACACATAGCACCAAGTTTTGTGTGTGTGTGTGTGTGTGTGTTGTTTTGTTCTCTACCAGTGCCATGATTTGAAGGATTACATTACTGTTATCCTTATTATATCCTGGTTGAGAGGATCAGCTGGAATAGCAGTGGTGTTTGAACATCTGGATCCCGAGGGAATGCCCCAATCCTGATCATGTGTTTGTTGAGCACCGTGGCAAAGAAAGAAAAGCACAATGATGTTCCACCAACCAGTACACATTGGAGGTCCAACTCTGATCATGTGTATGTTTGGGAAAGGAAGGTACAAAGATACTTTTACATTACGAAAGCAAGTTTGAAATGTAATTTCCAACACAAGTTGATTACCAAAATCTTTGTACGCACAACTCCAGTTTTTGTCAAGGAAAGAGCAACCCACCACTTCTGTAACATCTCGTTATGTAGATGTACATGTGGTACAAGGATACTACACATACGAGTCCTACCATTGTATTCAATTTAGTGATGCATGTCCGGTATGGATAGGGCCTGAAGTGTCCACAACGAGTTAGTTTTTTGTCCTTGAAAAATCTGGAGGTATTGTTGTCATGTGTTAATCTTAGTCTGACTTTAAATGAGTGAATTTTTGCATAGATTTTTATAAATTATATGCAAGGCCTCTTGTCTTGAAAATTCGGAAGACATCTCCTGTAAAAACCTGTAGGTCAGGCTCATATTTTTGCCAAAGTACACTAACCTCCAAATACTGCACGTGCGTGTTAACAGAAACTGTTGCACTGATTTCGTACCATAGGTCATTCATGTGCCTTTTCTCTTATCTTAGGCCAAAGATCAGTGACCTGTAGTTTAATTTCTTGCCACCTCAGCACAATTTGGCCCATCACAGGCTGGCACCCTACCACCAACCAGAGACCAAAGGTTACAAAATTCAACCTAAAGGGTACAAATGAAGCCAAGAAAACTGTCTCACATGTTCAGGCATGTGGTTTTTAGGCATGTGGTCAACGTGTCATGTTTTCGTGTAGTTTCGTGGTTGGGAATGTTGTCTCTACTTGTACTTTGCAAAGCATATAGTTTTTTTCAACATAGTGTCTGTTTAGTGTTTAGTTGTCTAGGAGAGTGGGGAGGGGGGTCAGGGTTCCTTTTGGGAGTGGGTTTGCCCTGTAGCTCATTCAGTTACTGGTTTAAACTGGTTAGTACCGGTATCGTAGATTCTGTAATGCCAGTCTACAGGACATTGGTCAACTGTGCATGCCAAAGCTGAAATACAAGCTGCCCCCAAACCTATTAAAAGCCAGCGTGAATTCCAGAGGAACCATGTGTTTTTTCATGTCCTGGTATTGGTCAAACCCTGAGACCAACGCTCTAAAGGCAAGGAATTCGAAGTTGAACTTGGCCTTGGGTGAAGGAATGCTGTGTTGTACTGTAATTTGTAGGAAAACTTGGGGTTCGTAAATCATTGAGGATTCATATCTTGCATGACATGAAACCCATCTAGTAATAGTAGTATAGGACAAACCAACACTCAAATTCAAAAGACAAAGGAGTTACAAATTGTGATGTATTGTGGAAAACTTTAGATTTTTTGGTATTAGAAGAATAGTTATCGTACATGTAACACATAAAAACATTAATACCATTAGCTTCAGAGAGAATGTTTTGTCTGGAGAACAGCTGATACCCCTAGTAGCTGTACACTTGTCTACATAAGTGGTACGGTGGGGAGCTGTGTAGTAGGCTATTTTGAGCAGGAGTGTTGCATCAGACGGCATGCCATAACATCAGTAAGTAGGGGGTATCCTCCAGCAGTGCCAAGTCATCACACAAATGTCAATGCCACAAATTGTTGCGGTTTGTCAGACGATTAAGTTGTTCCAAATATGATAATAGATATCACATTGATGTGATGTCTATAATATGATAACAGATTATCTAAATTGTAGGCAAGTTCGTTAACTGCTTTATCAGCACCTACTATGCAGCTGTTAGGGGTGGAATTTCAAAAAGAATTTGTGAAGATGACCATGCATTTGCCCCTTTCCCCTCTACACCATGTACTACAAATTGGATGAAAGTTCAGAAGGTCGGCTGTGAACGACCTGTAGCGCCCTGCCAAGGTTGTCCATACAAGACTGAAGTGCTGGACTTTGATTTGTAGTATTTTTGTACTAAGGTGATTTTTAGGTCAACATTTGCGAAGTAAATGTGTACTCACATCAAAAGAAATGCTGACATGGAGGCTATCAACTTAAAAGTTAAATTGTTGCACTCGAACTTGCCAGTGTAATATTATGTAATAATTTATTGCATCATTTCAGGACTCTTTGGAAAACTGACCGCTTATTTATAAAACTAATGTACGATAAATCTTAACGTTCGTGTTGATTTTGTTTTCAGTGATCTTGCTGTGACACTCAACACAAATTATTATGAAACAAATAGTTTAGTTTCTGTTGTATACAGAATTGTTTTAACCAAGCACTACAAAAACCTATTTTCACGCCATACCTCAAAATTAAGTCCCTTGAAAAACAAATGAATTTTCAGTAAATGATAAATGTTATATTGTTTTTCTACAGATAAGATCTGTGACCAGATCAGTGATGCAATCCTGGACGCACATTTGAAGCAGGATCCTAATGCGAAGGTCGCCTGTGGTGAGTTGCATCAATTCAAACCTGCACTAGTTAGAATAGGTTTTGGATGCTTTTTTTGGTTTTTTTTGCTGTAAAACATTCTCACATTCACTAACCTGCAGCTGTTCATTCGTAATTTTAAGGCATGTTCGTCTCATTGAATTTTTCTCTTCTGGGAAATAGATAAGTAAAGGGGGGGTGCTAGTTACTCAGTAGTTAGTGTAGTCCTAAATGCAGCGGCATATCAAACCTGCACTAGTTAGAATAGGTTTTGCATGCATTTTTGTTGGTTTTTGCTGTAAAACATTTTCACATTTTCTTACCTGCAGCTGTTCAGACGTTGGTAATGTACAAAGGCAAAAGTAAAGGGGGGATGCTTTATTGGTCTCTAATTGAAGTTTTGTGAAATGTGTAAATGACTGAGTGGGTCTCTCATTGAAATATCCCCCAACCCAAAATTCTCTTGTCAAATGTACAATGCTTGTGATAGTATCCCACTAGTACTACAGTTTTCTCATTTGATGAAATTGGATAAGTGGTTGCTTTGGTCTCAAATTTTGTGAAATGTGTAAATGTTTGTGATAGTCTCCTACTGAAATGATTTGGTGTAATGGATTAATGGTTGTGTTCGTCTCTGACCGAAGTTTTGTCTTGTAACCACAGAAACTGCCACAAAGACTGGAATGATCCTGCTGGCTGGAGAGATCACATCCAAGGCAGTGGTGGACTACCAGACTGTTGTCCGCAATGTAGTCAAGAGGATCGGATACGACTCCTCTGACAAGGGTAAGTAGGACTTCATTTGGTGTTCAGGACTGAAAATTGTGTGAATATAGTTTCCTAAAGCCTGCAATTTGTAAGGTTATGTATGTGTATATAACTGCCCTTTGACACAGCACACCAGTTTTTCAGGCCCAAGATGAAACGTTGCAGAAAAAATATAACTATAAGCATCTTGCAAGTTGGCAGGACAGGTAGATATAGGCTTCATATTAGGAATCACGTGTTGCAGGAAAAGGTTTTAGGTATTCACGTCAATTGCATGGTTTTGAACATACATGTAGTTTAGTTGATGAGTGTTGGTGTGGTGTGAGATTTGATCTTTTAAGTTAGAGCTCGTTCCTAAAAGAAAAGTCATTTAAATCAGAAGGTTTTCATTGGAAAGGTTTTTAAACCTTTTCTTGTTCTAAAGGCTTCTTCTTCTCTTGTCCACAGGTTTTGATTACAAGACGTTGAACCTCCTGTTGGCGATTGAGCAGCAGTCGCCAGATATCGCACAGGGAGTGCACGAAAGTCGTAATGAGGAAGACATCGGAGCTGGGGATCAGGTTGGTAGAGAAGGGCATGTTTTCCTTAGCGGTTATCGCGATGTTACAGGGCTTAAAATACTGGGTGCACCTTAGTGCAGGTAAAATTGGAGCTGTGCAGGCATTTCTGATGTCTACCTGCACCTAACCTGCACTGGTCCATGTACTGGGTGTATGCAGGTTAGTGAAGGTAACATAGGGGCTGTGCAGATATTTCTGATGTCTACCTGCACCTAACCTGCACTGGTTCATGTACTGGGTGTATGCAGGTTAGTGAAGGTAACATAGGGGCTGTGCAGGTATTTCTGACGTCTACCTGCACCTAACCTGCACTGGTCCATGTACTGGGTATATGCAGGTTAGTGCAGGTAAAATTGGAGCTGTGCAGGTATTTCTGATCTCTACCTGCACTTGGCCATGTACTGGGTTTAACTATACATGTATGTGTATGTGGATACTTACATCATCTATGTAGCATGATGCAATACTAAATATCAAGTAAGTTGATATTTGCAAAGTCCAGTTTGCCATATAAGTAAATACTTAGTCACACATCAGTTTATTGTGTCTGTTCTGCAGTATTGTGTAGATTCAATTGTTGCTTGAGTACTACATGTATAATCAAAGCCAAAAGGCAGAGAATTTTTAAAATCATCTTTAATACAGATAAAAACACAGGGTTTTTCCTGTATGAAAATTGTAAAAGATAGAAAGCCTGCTGTTGCAAATGAGGTATATCAAATAAAGAGGCCTTCTATAGTTAAATCTTATTTAGGGGCACTTTAGACTGACGACGGTTCGATAGTCGTACAAATGTTTATCGTCAAGATGTTGCCGGCGACGGTATTTTACCATCGTCTAAAGACGATCAAAATAGTCGCACTACCACCTCAGACCCTATTTTCCGCCGCCTAAAGTGAACCGTCGCCGGCGGGTGTCCGCCACACTTTCTGGTCATATGTCTAAAGCCAGCCGTCACCCACAACGATTGTCGTGCGATCGTATACCGTCGTCAGTCTAAAGTCGGCCATAGTTGAGCAACAGACAGACAGACAGAACTATTGAAAGGTTGTCTGCATTGGAAGCCCTTAAGAAAAGTGGTGTAAAAACATGACATGTGAAAGGAGGACTCTGGACTCCCTTGGCTGCTACATGTTTGTCTTGTTATATCACAGGCATTAAACAAACATTACATTATGCAATATTTACCTAGTAAGTGTGTCAAAGTGCTATTTATAAAGAAATCTCAGTGGTTTAGATAATACTTAATCCTATGGTGCCTTTTGAGCACAAATCTTATTTTCAGCATCTTTCAGTTTTTTAAACAATGTCACAGGCTGAAGCAATGTTAAATTTCCAATAATAATACTGGTTTATTTGTTTCATGTAAAACACATAACAATGGTTCCCACATGGCAGTCACAGACTGAATTGCGTGGGGGTTCCATTAACAACACATGATAAAAACATTAACTGTATAGGGTACAATATTAAAAGCGTAGTTATACTGTAGCTAAATTACACAATAACAAATTTAAAATATTTAAAAGATCTCATGAAGACACATTATACAATATAATTTAGAATAGGGCAGTTTTTTTTCTTACAAGTTCAACAGTCGCACCATGTGAGGTATTGCACTAGAGTTATATCTTTCTGATTTGCAGTGGATACTATCGAGTTTGTGAGTTTGTCCAATACAAATGGACTGTTCAACTTCTGATATATGAGAACCAGTAGAAAATTTGAATAAGTCCAGCTATTTTGTGTTTGTAAGTCTGTTCAACCTTGATTGAGAATAATTTCTACCAACATAGACTTTGTCAGTATGGTCTCCTTCAGACTTCAGTCAATATTGAACATGGTAAAATCCTAATTGATATCAGCTTCAGCTATGTCTAAACAGTCCTATAAGAGAATGACAGTTTGTCACATAGGGCTTATCCTGATAAAGGCGACAGTGGTCGTTAAAAATTTGACCTGTGTGTAACCCTTGTGTTGGAATAAGTTCAACATTTTACTATGATTACTACCAACACAGATAAACTTTCATGACAAGTATGTCTTGTATTTTATTCATAACGGTAAATGTTTCCTGTATCCAGGGTTTGATGTTTGGCTATGCCACTGATGAGACAGAGGAGTGCATGCCCCTGACCTGTGTCCTGGCTCACGGGCTGAACAGGCGGACAGCGGAGTGCCGAAGGAACGGGGAGCTGCCCTGGCTGCGCCCTGATACTAAGACCCAGGTAAATACTCAGTCACCTATCAGTTTCTTACGATAGACCTCAACCTTTGGTACTATAAATTCTGCTGTCACCCATCAGTTTCTTAAGGAGCATGTCAACCTTTGATACTATATTCTGCTGTGGCCTCAGGTTGACCTCGGATGTTCGAACGGCAACGTTAAGTGTCCGTGTTAGTGTTTGATGTCCAAATGGCAACATCAAGATAGTTAGAATCTAAGAACAAACACTAAAGAATAAAGTCAGTTTTTTGAGTTGAAGTCTTAGCATTCCGACACTTTGTTTTGTGCTCTTGTCTTTCTCTTCTCCTTTCACCGTCTGAGCACCATATCTAGCCAAGAAAACAAAAGTAAAAGACTAGAAAGGTAACATTTGCAAATGATGTTAACCTTTGCACATGGTCTGCTCTATTAATTCTTACACAAACACATTCACATACGGTTTATGGTGACAGGAGTCTAAATCCCACCTGCTATAAAATTGCAACATGATGCAACCCAACACCAGTCAGTGTTTCAAACGGAAGAAGAAACAGAAAAAACAATGTTTTCCTTTGGTAACCATAAAAGCAAAAAAAAAAACCCTCAATTTTGTTTCCAGGTGACAGTTGAGTACCGTTTCGAGCACGGAGCCTGCATCCCCCTGCGAGTTCACACCATCGTGATCTCGGTCCAGCACGACGAAACCATCACCACCGAGCAGCTTCGCAAGGACCTGAAGGAGCACGTCATCAGCAAGGTGGTTCCCAAGGAGCTGCTGGATGACAGGACCGTGTACCATCTCCAGCCTTCTGGCAAGTTTATCATCGGTGGCCCACAGGTGAGGACTTCAGACCATATTGAAGAGCTTTAGCTCTGCAGTTTCTTTGTTTGAGTGTTTGTGTATTCATACAATGTAGTCACTCACTTTTGTGTCACTCACTTTATTTTAACCTCATTGGCACTCAAAGTTTATTCATAAAATTACTAAAATCAGCCAGCTACTCTTCAGTAATAGTAGTGTAGTAGTGTTCCAATTGGAAGGCTTTAGACACTAGAAATTTTCAGGACATTTTCTTTGACTAGTATTCCCCAAAAAATCTAGGCAAGATGTACCTAAATATCTTTTTATATCAAAATACTGGTAGTTAACATTTCTGATGCTGATTTTAACTTATCTACCCAGATTGACATTTGCAGTAATAAGTTCTCTAGCACCAGAGAATTTTAAACAGATTATTTTCCAGTATTCTACACATGTCAAGTTTCTATTATCGCAAGATCGTTTAGAATCTGAGATGTTGCCTGACATTAAAACCTTGCTGTTTGTGTTCCCTGCAGGGAGATGCTGGTTTGACCGGCAGGAAGATTATCGTGGACACGTACGGAGGCTGGGGTGCTCACGGCGGCGGTGCCTTCTCCGGGAAGGACTTCTCTAAAGTGGACCGTTCCGCTGCCTACGCCGCTCGCTGGGTCGCCAAATCGCTGGTCAAGGCTGGGCTGTGCCGTAGGGTGCTGGTCCAGGTGAGATTTAATGCTCAATTGTCTTATCCTTACCCTGGATGCCAGCCTTTCTATATTGGCTGTAGTTAGTGAGCGTCACAGAAGACCAAAGCAGCAGTAGAGCAATGAAAAGAGAAAGGGTAATCTAGAGTGAAAGCTGCTCTACAAATGTGCAAAAAGACAGTATAGCTCATAACATACATAGCTACAATTTGCAAGGTTATTTGCTTCTGTTCTGTAACAATTCTTAATTAACTGTAAGTCATGAAGAAAACTGATTTTTAGCATTCATTGCTTCCATGTCAGAAAGACTGAGCCCTCACTTCTTCCATCCTGCCATTGCTTGAATGTTTATTCAGAATTTGAACTTTGAGTCTCTCATCCTTTAGTGGTCCTTATTAAAAAAATTCCAGTGTGATAACATTGTTTGTATATTGTCAGGACATTTCATTTTAATTAATGCTACTTGTTTAGCAGTTGACTGGTTGTGCTATATATTGAGCTGATGGTGCCTACTCTCTTCTGATGCCTGTTTTTATGCTATTCCCAGGTGTCCTATGCCATCGGCATTGCTGAGCCCCTGTCCATTAGTGTGTTCTCCTACGGCACGTCCCAGAAGTCTGAGGACGAGCTGCTGGAAATAGTGAAGAAGAATTTTGACCTGCGTCCTGGCATCATTGTCAGGTGAGTCAATTTTTTTTGTATCCTTTGCAGGTCCAGGCTGAATAAAAGTTCTAAACGGGAACTATGCGGCTCCAGATGTCTTACTGAGGGATGACTGCGTGTGCGAGATATCGGTTAGCTTGAGGAAAGAATCCCCTCTACTATATACTTTGCAGGCCCCAGTGTTCTGTACTTATACTTACATTGATGGTTAGACATCCAGGTACTGAGGTACACAAGAAACTGTTACTCAAGCAACTGGATAGGTATTGAAAACTGTCAAGATATTCAAGTCACTGACAAAAAGTAAGGCTTCAGATGTGCCTTGAATATAAGAAAGTCAAGTCAGGACATGACATAGAAATAAGAAGAACTTAATTGACACAACAAAAGTACAGCAACTTTAGTAAGGTAACTACATGTAGACATACAGATACGTAGGTACAACAAAATTGACCTGCGTACAAGAATTTGTTCTAAGGTCTATGCATTCTTTTATATATTTAAAGTCTCTGTATTGTCTTGGTTAGTGGTGTGGTGGGGTAGCTATATAACCATGATCATATCTTCACAGCTTCTAACATGTATACATGCACTTCATCTGTTTCACAGGGATCTGAACCTGAAGCGGCCGATTTACGAGGCGACCGCCTGCTACGGTCATTTTGGGCGCGACGACCTGCCCTGGGAGCAACCGAAGAAGCTGGAGAAGTAAAACTCCACATCAAGCATGCACATTGAGATGCTTCTTTTTGCATACCTCTTACTTAGTATAGCAAGACTTAGAAGAACCGTAGACCTTCCACTTATAAAGCAATTGTATGAAGTGTATGTATGCAAGTCCAATTCTACAAGTTGAAGAAAGGAAATCAGGATCAAATACTGTGCACTATGTTGGGTACTCGAATACTGGTTCTTGAGCGAGTGGATGTCTGGTTTGTAGAGAATGTTAGCAGACAAGTGCTCATACAGAAAACACTTGTCGATAAATGCTGCTTTGTCTACAACCAGGCCGAACCATTCAGCGGGTTGTGGCAGGGTGGTCCGTACAGAAAACACCCGGCAACGCTCACCCCCCGTGACTGGTCGTGGCGCAGTCCACCGCCTTCGAGAGCCAGTAGTCGATAGGTAGGGCTAGACAGGGCGCTTTGGGCCTGAACCATTCCGCTGGGAAAGTTGGAGTTACTAGCGGGTGTTACTACAGAAATCGCCCGCTTGTGCTGCCCCCTCCAACGGATAATATGTGCTGCTGCCAATCCCCCTGGCTAGCCCTCCCTCAGTCAAACTGGTATTCAAATCAAATGTTGTATCGCCTGTGATATGATACGAGTTATATATGATGATATTATGTTTAACACAAAAGTGTTTGTACGGAATGAAATATAATCGTTGTTGACCTAAAGCTGGCTGCATATTTGCATGTAACGTTGGTTATGTGAGCTTTATTGTACCATGTTATAAGAAGCTAGGATGGAAAACATAGTCCATGGGATAAGTTGTAAGAAAGTAGCTTGTGGCCAGTTTTAAGTCACTAAACATTGCAAATTGATTCTCTGTGTACACGCTTTGTACTATGTACTCACTATGTACTATGTACCCTTACTAACATGCCTTAACTTGTTCTTTGGAAGGAGAAAAAAACACTGAAGAGTGAAGGAAACACAATTACAATGTATTAAACAAACACATACCATTGCTAGAACAATTAGCAAGAAAATGCCATTATTTCCTACCTAATTGTATACCTTCATTGTCGTTGCCATGTTGTCAGAATTATACAAATCACGGGATCATAAGAAATACCTTGTTGCAGATACTGCTGTTCACTCTTGCCCTTTGCACTGTGGGGTTCAGAGGGGGTCGTTGACCCAGGGGTCATGCCCTATTGACCCAGGGGTCATGCCCCCTTGTCTACAGATGTACCCACATGCAATATGCATTCCATATATACTGTAGGGATGGAGTGGTATTGTCTGTAACTCGGAGTAGGTGAGGTGGAAATTAGCAAAAACAGTTTCCAGGGGATGGAATACAACGGAGCAAGGGATATGTGTGAAATGAAATTCTACAAAGAGTGAAAAAAGTCATTCTCACTAGAGCTATATTAAGTATGTCGGTAAGACCTCAAATAGTTCACTGCATTCCCTCATAAACTCCTGCCTGTTCCAGCCCAAGCCCTGTCACACATAACTGAATATGGCCGCCCAAACACTGCCGAACTCCGCTAAATATGGTTAGGAGTAGGTAGGGAGCAAGATTGTTTGTGGTTGGCAGACTTTCGGCAAGATTGACTGTTTGGCTGCACCAACCAAATGTTGCTAAATGTTTAAAACATTCGACAGTGGACGGGAGGTTTTGCCATGGTTGGGAGTAGATAGGGTGAGGTTGGCAGTCAAATTTGACTCAGATTTAACTCAAATTTGATTCGTATCGAAAGGTAGGCATGGCCTAAATCTGGCCAGACTGCTCCTGAATTTCAGCCAACCTTTGTCGGCTGGTGTTTGGGGAAGGTTCTGAATGTGTGACGGGCTTTACTAAAACCAAGGACATTATGTGTATAATGTCCGTGCTAAAACTTAACCCTACCCCTGCTGTGTAACCCAAGAGCTGATACAAGTGTAGTGCCAAAGGGTTGTCACAGCAGGGCAAGGGTTAAAACCAGGAGTGCAAAGAACGTAGCCCCTGGATGGAGGAATATGTACTGTTTTTTGTAGTACATGGTGAAAAGTCTGGATAAAATATATCATCTCAAGCAAAGTCTGGTTTCTGTGTTTTATTTTCATACAGTTGGTTAATCAGTATTCAGTCTATTCTATTTCATTCACATAGATTTGGAGGATTGGGCAAAAGTAATGCTATTATTATCTAGGCCCTATACTTACACATACTAATAAATGTACAAAGAAAAGTACTGGTAACATCAAACTAGAGTTCTACAAGCTCATAAACAGGTAATGTTACCTGGAAAATTATATTATATTATGCAAATGAAGTCCTGATTTGATAGATATTTTCCTGCTACATACACTCCAAATGCAGCAAGTGTGAAATTGCTGGCAGTTACCACTGAAATCATATCACTTCCTCATTAATTATGCAAGTTAGGTCTTCATTTACATAATTGATAATTTCTTTAAAAAAGACCGTCTGTCACCTGCAATGACTCGTACTGCAGCTAGGTGTCGCTGCTGCAAAATTACAGTACCAGGACATTATACCATTATATAATGTATAATGTCCTTGGTAGTACAAGGCAGCCCCACAAAACGTCGAAGAAAAAAGCCAAACCAGATCAACCATATCATTATTTTGATACAAGCAAGGATGACACAATGAATAAGCCTCTACCAGGCTTCAAAAATCGCTGTTAACAAGCGGCTTTGAAATATGATAAAGTGACTTGTGAAATACAAGTAGCCAGAACTGTTGGCCCTCTGAAGCAGTACATTTGCCGCTTTGGGCCAGTGTCTACTCTTCTATTAAGCCGCTTGTAAAGCCTGGTAGAGGCTATCATGGGGAGTCTTTGATACAAAAGAGGTAGCCTCTACCAGGCTTCGGAAAGTGGCTGGAAGGTAAAAACTCCCGAAAGCGGCAAACTTAAACTGTACTCTTTTAGATAGCGGACCAAGGACCAAAAATCTAGACCAACTCCCGGCTACCCTGGCATGTTATCTGTCCATTTCTAATCGTTTCGAGCCGCTTTCCGAAGCCTGGTAGAGGCTATAAAGGGGCGGTAGATTCCTCCGGTAACATTGTTACAAGCGTGTCCTTGTTCGCCACTTTTTGGCGCGAAATAGTCACGTGGCAAACAACAGTAGTAAACATGGCGGACTTCTGAAAGTTTTTGACGTCTCGGGTCTCGAAAGCGGAGATTCTTTCGAGCGATTGTCTGAGGTTAACAAACTTCTGAGTCAAGAAAAGACAAGAAGAAGTGTTGTCACAACATCCAGTCGCATTTCTGAGAGTGAATCGGTCGACAGACAGTTTATTTTAGGTGAGAAATTTTGTTTACAAATTCCAGGAAAAATGGATTCCGAAACTTGTGTCAGTTTCACCAGCACGACTTTTTTCTGATACTAGTACGCCCTTTCTACTAGATTCTGCAAGCGATAAGTGACTAGAGATTTGACAGTTCACTCGGCGAAGTTCATAGACAGAGGGATTTTTATGTTTTGTGTGTTTTGTTGTCTTGAAATCATACTTTTTTCTGCTGAGTTTTCCATGCATGTGCATCGTTATCGAAAATTATGAAGGGAGCACAAAAGGGACACGTAAACCCAATGTTCGCTTAGCGGTCGCATCCTCTTGTGAAAAGGCGGTGTAAAGTGATTCAGTTTGCTTTTAGAACAAGTTTTTCCTACCAAAACATGATAACCTGCCGTATGACCAAATTATGACTTGACTTCTTTCAAACTGAGTTAAATAAACAAACAAACAAACAAACAAGGAAGTTGATAGAACCGTGAAAGCATCTGAACATGCCTTGTTTTATAATTTGCCTCCTTGAGTGTACATCATTTGTTTGTTTGTTTGTTTGAGCTTAAAATTATTCATTGATACTTTAGGATATTGGTTAGATATATAGTTTCTTGTCTTGAAGCAAAGATAAGTGGACACTTTGTTTAAAAAAAAAGAACTAACCATCTCTTTAAACTGTATTCAACATTTAAAGACTTTGATAAAGGTTACCCAATTTATACAAATGTAGTAATTAGACTGAAAGTAATTGCCCACAAAGTCAGATGTTACTTTAAACTTTAAGGTAATCATGAATCAAACAATAAACATTTTAACTATGACAGAAAACCATGGATTCAGAGGCTGCCGAGATGGATGACCTACGACCCCTGCTGCTGTTCTTCGACTGCGAGGCCGCGAGGGGAAATGTATTCCGTGATGACATCATCGAGATCGCGGTGAAGTGTCAGCCAGACCTGCATTCCACCGCGGAGTTTGACAGCCTCATTCACACCAGTCAGCGCATCTGTAGTTTTGGTTAGTGTACTTGTCTATCAGGCCTCACCAATTTGTACCTTGTTTTAGAAGGTACATGTAAGTGGATGAGTGAGTGAGTGAGTGAGTGAGCGAGTGAGTGAGTGAAGTGTCAGCCTGACCTGCATCCCACCACGGAGTTTGACAGCCTCATTCACACCAGTCAGCGCATCTGTAGTTTTGGTTAGTATACTACTAACGTTAGTGTTTAAAGTTAACACTTTTGATCCAACACAAAAGTTCTCACACCTAGAGCTAGTCACTCTGGTCTTCCTCAGTAGACTGATCCAGTGAGGCTTGTCACATGGCTTCTTTGAAGTGTGATGTCAAGACCAAGTGATTAAGTGGGTGGGTGGTTGGTTGGAGTGAGTGAGTGAGTGAGTGAGTGAGTGAGTGAGTGAGTGAGTGAGTGAGTGAGTGAGTGAGTGAGTGAGTGAGTATGAGTGAGTGAGTGAGTGACTGAGCGAGTGTCTGTGAGTGAGGAGTGAGTGAGTGAGTGAGTGAGGAGTGAGTGAGTGAGTGAGTGAGTGAGTAAACGAATGACGGTGAAACAAACAAGTAAAGTTTGAGTTTCTCTCCAGGACAGGAGAATGGTTTGACTGCGAGGGCGTTGAAGGGGCAGCCGAAGTTCCCGGAGGTTCTCGACCGGCTACTGGTCTGGTGTGACGGGGTCGTGGAACAGGTCAACCGACAAACCAACTACAAGCACTACCCAGGTATGTACAACGTGCCTTTCCTCATTTACATAACAGTGACTCCTATGTTTCAAAGCTGGATGAAAGTGACTCTATTCGACTCAATCTGGACAATTCTTTTGAAGAAGTGCAACTATTTGTTTCAATTCTCTCACATGTGAAAGGTGTTAAGGTGGCTGTCCCCATGGTAACTGTTGCTGAAGTAGATACCCTGTGGTGTTAGGTTACATTATGTAGCAAGTTGCAGGAGAGGACTTCCACAACCTGAACCTACATAACGTTAACCCACAGGATAGAGGCGTTTTATTTCTTACCACTTATTATTACTTAATGCTAATATGTTATTTCCCCCAGTTCTGGTGGCCCATGGAGGGGAGCTGTTTGACTTCCTGATGTTGTTCTCTCACTGTGAGCGGCACAGCATACCTGTGGACAGACTCCGGGAACACAACTTACATTTTGCGGACACATTCATACACCTAGATGAGGTACAGTACTAGTACAAGTACTGTTTTATCTAGTGATTCCCTAATGCTGTGCCATGCTAAAAAAATCAGTTTTGCATCTTGCAATTTATGATTTTGAGCCTAAATTATGTTACTTGCCAAATTGAAAGTTGTTTATGAATGCTATTATTTGTCTCCTTCAGGTGAAGAAATCAGGACATCAGCTACTGGAAGGCTGTCCTCTATCACTGGACTTCTTGCTTAATGAGTGGTTCCCTGGGGAATTCTCTGAAGGTCTGTATAAGTTTGCATTTGTTTACAGTTGATATTACTGCTTGAGTCCTCACACAATATTTTCTTAAAACTTCCTCTTCGTGAGAGAATGTGTACTGAACAGTGTGCAACTAATGCAGTGGAAAGCAAAATACATTACATCTGCGAATGTCCACAATTTGATGTGGAAAGAACAGATTATTCACGATTGTATCCAAAATCACTCCAAGCTTTTCTGGGGTAAAAAATATCTAGAGAAAACAGCATTCCTACTAAAGTCATCCAACTTAACTATCATAAAGAACTTGCTTTTCATTTGGTATTGCTTCCTAAGAATAAGAAGAATTCAACACATTTATTAAGTAATCTAGATTATACTCAGATCTTACTATAGGCCACCAAATGTAGTTTAAATTGATTGATTTCAGTGAATGTCCCATTTGTTTTAGGTCGGCATAGAGCGATGGTGGATGTACAGTTGCTGATTAAGATTTTCTATGAGACTCCTCTGCACCAGTTTCTGTCCACTCTGCCTATCTTCAGTACAGAGGAATGGTGAGTTGGCAGTATATATCCTGCATCCTATTATTTAATGTGTACAAAAATACGTACAAAAATATTTGTAGGCATAAAATATTTGTTTGCACCAGTGCACCCACAGAAAATAATTGTGTGCACAGCTCCAATTTTGGGTGCGCTAAGGTGCACATGTACCCAGTATTTCGAGCCCTGGTACTGGTATACGAGATTTGTCAAGTATCATTAGGTTGGGTGGGTTGTGTCACTATAACCCTATTTCTAAGTCATGTGGGAATGGATGTTATTTTTATATCAACTGTTGTTGTATCATTACGATGTTATGATATGATGTTGCACTGTTTTTTTCTCCCCTTTTGCCCCTCCCCCCCAACACCAACAGGAAAGTGTTTTATGAGACAAAGAAGGAAATTATGAGGGACAAGAGAGAGTTTGGAGGTTGGTATATTATTTTTGTGTCGCTCACAATTTTGTCACCATTTTGTATTTAAGAAGACCACTTTTTTTCAGTGGTCTCCTGGGTGTTTGTCTTAGACAAGTTTGACTGTATTGACCTTGTCCTGCGGGGCCCATATATATATATGGGTTGCACATACAGTACCATCTATATAGTGCCCTGTATATGTACAATTTTGTTTCTCGTGCAATGAAAGTAACTACTGAGTAAAAAGACTCTTTTTACACAACCAAGTCTTTTATTCAGCCGAAGTTTCAGGACTGCATCTGTAGCAGTGACACCTGTGCTGCTGTGCAATGTGAACCAGTCAGAATTGCCAGAAGGTGACAGATGGTCACCGAAACGTTGGCTGAATAAAAGACTTGATTGTGTAAAAAGAGTCTCTTTACTCAGTGTCTTACCAACCTTATGAAACTATTCGTAGATGTATTAACAAATTATTATACATCCCTACAGATAAACTGTGGTTCCTGCATGAAGTGCATCAGAAGTTTGTGATCAGGTCTCTGGTAAAGCACGGTTTAAACTACGAGGGACTGAAGGACTTCTATCAGCAGTGCCGCTCTGTTCAGGTGAGGGAAACGTAGATGCTCATTCACTCGCACTCCTATCAAAGTTTTGATTATTCTGCTGCGGATGTCCCTGACACAGGTAGGCAACAGTCGGCTAGTCATCACACCTCCATGCGGCCCTATCCAGACGCTCTGATGTCTTGATGCACTCCATCCAGGTCTTTTTAGGTCTTCTCTGATGTCTGTTGCTAGGCAGATGCTAGCCTGTGTCACATAATTGTTCACTCGATCTCAGGCTGATTGGGCATCCACTCTCAGACTGTGTTAAAGTCCTTGTCAGTTTTAGCTTAGCTGTTACTATCCTATGATCTGATTTGATGTTTATGTGCTTTGCAGTTTAGTGTGCTATTCCTCCATTTTTGGTTGATTAAAACATGGTCAATCTGGGCACGTTTCCCACTAGGATATGTAATTGTTGCCTTTTTTCTCAGTGTAGTTAATGTTAGGTCTAACATGTTGCATTCATTTTAAACTCTACGAAATGTTCGTCTGCATTTTTGGGGGAGATTTGAATGCAAAGGTTGGATAGCCTGATGTAAAAGGATCTAGGCTATCATAACGAAGGGACTAAAAATGGGAGACGTGTCTCCTTTACATCCACATTACAATGTTGTATAATGTTTTGTTTTGATTTCTTTCAGCATTTCAAGCAAGAAATGAGAGAGCTGATGGATACACACGTGAAGTCATTTTCCATCAAAAGGATAGCTGAGCACTTCTCAAGGGAAAACCTACCCCAACTCGGAACCATTCCGGTAAGAAACCTTTGAGAAAAATATTGTGCTCTCTGCGTGCAGGGATGGGATGCTCATGGAGCAAAAATTCCCAAACTTCTGGCGGAAAATGGTTACTGGAAGGGTCCTGGGCTGATTTTTAGGGTTACGTACCGCTCAGAAAATAAAGGACTCATCTTGGGGCTTATGTCTGCTGTTTTGAATGCCTAATTTATGAAATACTGACTCAAATGTGCTAATGTTAAGCAGTATGTGTCAATATCACAAACATCTTTTATTCATTCATTTTCATATTACAGTATCGGCCACCGACCAGCACCAACAAGTACCGTGTTCAGCCTGCATGCTACCACGAGACAGATGCTACAGGGACTCACTTCAGACTTGTACTTAGCCTGTAATGATAGCATGAACATACAATAAACATCTTTCATTTATTGTCATGTGTTGACATCACACTTCAAAGGAGCCACGAGACAAGCCTCACTGGATCAGTCTACTGAGGAAGACCAGAGTAACTGGTCGATTAAGCTCTAGGTGACAGAACTTTTGTGTTCGACCAAAAGTTTTAACTTTAAACATCTTTCATTTATTCGTTCTTAACCCTACAGTATCGGCCACCGACCAACACTAATAAGTACCAGCCTGCCTGCTACCACGAGACAGATGCTACAGGGACCCACTTCAGGCTGAGGTACGGGAGGAAGAGCAGCGTCAGATCTTCACTGCCGAGTCAACAAACTCAGGAAGGTTAGTTAAAGTTCTCCACACAACCATTGCCATCTTCATTTCTGTAGCACTTGGGCCACACAGTTGTGCAATCACTACAGCAGGGGGATAGTCCACAGGTAGTGGTGTGTGTTTAACTCACTTACTCTTCAGAGCAGAGAAAGCAGTATGTACCATGTCTTTGGTATGACTCGGTCGGGGATCAAACTCACGACCTATTGAACGCAAGACGAGCATTCTCCCCACTTGGCCATTGCACCGGTTGGTAGGATAAAGGTAAGGATAAACTTTGTAAGTTGCAAATGGAAGCCTTCTCCTGCAACTTAAGCTGTTATGATGTCTTATAAACTAGAGACACAGAAAATGTCCACTTAAGTACAAACAAGATTTAATGTCATTTTATAATATGACTATGTATAAAAAGTTAACAAAACTTTGGCAGAAGGATGTAAAATGTCAACAGAACAAGTATGGCAACATTATCAATGCAAACTTGAGACTACAACTACATACTATGTAATACAATTTACTCATGGGTATAACCTTAAACTTTTCAATACAAATGTGAAACATCTGTTATCATCAAGTTACAACTAGAGTAGCCCATAACTTTTCAGTGGCTTACAATGAATTTTGTGTGAACTGGAGTAAATGCAAACAATATACATTGGAAAACTCTCAGTTTTTGTCATTATCAGCAAACAGACATTGTCTCTTATCACATGGTGGTCATTTATGTTCACCAACAAGTTTGTTATCCTCTTCAAGCTTTGCTGTGGTTTCATTCTGTTGTTCTTGTTTGTCGTCGTCTTGTTTCGGCTGTGATCTTGGTCTACCTGGTGGCTTGATCTTCGTCGGCCTTCCACCTTTCGCTATGGATGCAACCTTCATAACAACAATCGGAACAGACTGGATTATGAATTTGACCACTTGATTTGATTTATTGAAATTGCAACAGTGCAATACACGTGGGACACAGGCAGCTGTTGCTGGTGTTGTGTCCCACACATAGAAACGAATACTGGACAGACAATAATTATCATTGTCATTATCATTATTTATTGTATCTTAACTTTATCGTTTCTATGTGACTTTATATATTTTACCTGTTCATGTATGTATGATGCACTGAAAAGTACAGTTGTAACTGAATGTGTCACCCTGGCTAAGTACATGTTTGGTTTGGTTTTCTTTTTAATGCCCACAATCATGATAATGATCATTCTGGCATACTCATTTTCACCGGAGTTAAGTGAGGAAAGTGCCTTTCCTAAGAGTACAAGATCGGTAACAAGGTGGGGTTCGAACTCAGGACCTCTTGGTTCTCAGCCGATATATGTATGACATGTATGTATGTATGAGTGCATGTATGACAGAAAATAAAAAAATAAATAAACAAACCTTTTCACAAGCGGCGCAGTGGCCCTCAAATGCGTCGTGGTCATACCAGGTCACTACTTTCGGCCGTGAAAAATGCGGCGGCCTGGCCAGTTTCGATCGACAACGGTGGCAGAAAGCTGGAGGGTGCCGGTGGCCCCTGTCCTTGGTGACATCCACCCCCCAAATCTCGTGGATTCTCCGGGCGTATTTGCGGCAGGGGTTGGGCTGGTACATCTTTTGTTTGTCCCTCTTTTTTAGCACCGCCTGGCCGCAAATTCGGCACAGTTTGGAGATGTTCTCAATGTGCTGGAGTAGAGCAGGATCTGCTGACATTTTGGGGTCACCCTAGAAGAAAGAAAAAAAAAACTTGTATTTCCCAAGAACTATTGTAGACTTTATCAAGCACAGTTGGGGCATCAGCACTAGAAAGCTTTAAACAACTCCTGCAATTAAATGTGCAAGGATTGAGTGTTACAAGTCGTTAGGTGTGATATAGCTAGCTGCCGCCGCGCCACGTGCCTGCGAAGCTGGTGTGTTACACTGAAGGTTGGTTATACCGGCTATACAGATACAGAGAATAAAGTTCCAAATATAACTCAAATACGTGTAGCTCTTAGTATCAGATGTGCTTGCAACTTCCCTGGAAATTTGTTTTGGCCATTTTCTAGTCTGGTTACCAAACCTAGCTCCCAAGTCTTTATCTTCTATGCTATGCAAATAGGTAAAGACTCAGCACCTAGAATAGGTCTGGTAACCAGACTACCAAATATTTGTAGGTCTTGGTATCAGCACAACTCCAACTGTGATATTTTGGCCCCAACTTAATCTTGACAATTCCTCACCATGCCCAGAACCAGAGTAGAATTCAAAAATATTGTTTTTTGCAGCTTTGCCCAGTGTCTGTTTCTGTGGCAGCTCTTTTTCTGTGCCTTCTTCTTGTTCCAAACAAGGTCAGTGACCAGGATCAGACGTTTACGTCTGTCACCATGGTAACAGTTGTTGCAAACACCATGTGATGTTGAGCTACAAATGTAGCAAAGTTGAGCTGGAAGGGCTATAGTCACCATATGTATATTTTTTATACGAATGAATAAACAGAGTAGTAGATTGTAAGCTAAGTAGACCACAAAAATGTATCTGTTTTTCGATTTGCTTTGCAATGTTACTTTTCTAGTACTTCAAGGTTAAATCAGGGTTAGGCTAGAGCAAGGAGATTGAAAATCAAAACTTCCTTGGGTAGAGTTAGGTATCCTCTTGACTTCAAAACATTTAGAAACCATGCCAGGTATGGTGTGTTGTCATGATTTGCTGATTTGCCCCCCCCTCACCGGTGCAATAGCTCAATTGGTAGAGTGCTCGCTTTGTAACCGGGAGGTCGTGAGTTCAAACCCCGGCCGGGTCATACCAAAGACTTTAAAAATGGTACACACTTCTTTCTCTGCTTAGCACTCAGCACATATGAGAAAAAGTGTGGGGAGGTCAAACACACATCACTACCAGCGGACCAGCCCCCTGCTGTAGTGCATTGCACAACTGTGTGTCGCCCAAGGGCTACAGAAATGGATATGGGCACCACCCTACGCTCTGCATAAGAAGCATGGGAGACCTTTCCTTTCCTTCCTTTTCCACCCCTCACCCTCACCCTCACCTACTTGAAGGTACGCAAAATGAAGAAGCAATGATGATTTTTGGCCTATGACTGGCTGACTCACTCACTTACTATCTGCCTGAACATTGAGTTTCTTTGAGTTTGTCCTGATCTCCCAAGGGTTAAACATTCTTGTAACTCCCCAGGTAAATGTTTTGGTCAAATCTACTGTTTTCTAGCAACTCAGTAGAGTCTGGTAGAGACTAGGAAATATTTGTTAGAAGACTATCAAGTAAAAATAATTGCAAAAGAGTCAAAACTTTCTTACCAGCAAAAGTAGCAGAGATAGAGAGAAAGTTTGGATGTCCTGCCAACTCTGTGTAGCACACACGTGTTGAACTCTTTTCAAAAATGGCTCTCCCTTGGTACTCCAGAGGTCATAGCTGGGTCAGTGGGAGGGGCTTAAGTTAGTTGGGTCAGAGGTCACATGTGCTCCAAGCAGATATAGGGATGCTGCTCACTCTAAGTGTTTTAACTTTTACAACTGTTTTTGCAACATTTGGTTTTCTTTTCTAGTACCTAGATTTTGTTTTTAAACGTTTGCTGCTTTAAAAGTACAATACCAGGAAAGAGAACCAATGTTGAAAAAATGGGAATAAAAACTGAAATTACTATGAAAGAAATAACTCTACTGTGCAAATGTTTGGAACAGATATATCACAAGAAACACAATTTTCATCATTTTGAGAGGCAAATCATGGGGTTGAGAGTGATTGTCAATGGACCTTTGGATGTTTTAACATTTTTTACCCAAGGTCTTTGTTGACTTAAATGATTGATATTTTTTTTACGTCATGCCCAAAGTTTTGGCAATTGATGGAAAAATGGGTGTTGGCCACTCAGAGCTCAGCTACTCACACTTTTGTGTTTTAGCTCCTATAAAAATAACCAACAATAACCATGGTTGCTTTATTCCAGAGAGCCCTCCAGAGGCAGAGGAGGCAGGCCCTGATAGCAGCAGTTATCCGGTGGGAACGTCAGTGTCCAGGGGGGTCCCCCCTACTTCAGGAGGGGGGTCTCTATCCCCTTCTGCTGGAGGGTCTGTGTCCAGGGGGTTCAGCCCTGCTGCAAGGGGTAGGGGGAGAGCTAGGCCTCTGGGGACAAGGTAACCATCAGTGTGGTTTATTTGTAAGTTTCTATCTTAATTTAAAAAGATATTTGTAGTTACATGTAGTAATTAGCCACTATCCCTTGTTAATCTGTTCAATTTTTGTATTGTGTACTGCGATGTACTTGTGTCAAATCAATTGACTATTATCATAACTACATGTATTATTATAATGATGATTATATAGTATTAGACAGAATTTTAACTCAATACAAAAAGGTGGTTACAATGCTGGGAGGTAGTTTATCTACCTTTACCATTTGTATTTTTGTTTCACCAGGGCTACCTAGGTTCAAAAATAGGTTGCCCCAAGTAAAATTTGGTTGCGCGGGGCAACTGGGCAACCAGGTACTTTGCGCGCTGGCAGGTAAACAGTTCGGTTGTGTAAAAGAAAACTCTTGTATCCTACAAGCAGGCCCTGTGATGCAGGCTGGATGTACAACCCCCTCCACAAGCAGGTTCCCTCAGACTTCGGTAACCATGACGACGGGTGGCTCTCGGACGGTGACTCTGCAGCCTACAGTCCCGATGACGTCACACCGGTTAATGTGCAGGTTTGTTTGAACCCTTGTTTAATACCTTTGCCTTTACCATTGTTTTCACCTTTGTTTTCTATATCTATGTCTGCATGTATTAAGCCGTTTAATTTCAGTGTAACACACCAGCTTTGCAGGCATACGGTGTGGCGGCAGCTGGCTACACTACACAGAACCAGTACTTTCCTTGGTACTGCAGCAAAACTTTCAGTATCGTACTAAGGCCATGATTTTTGGGTGGCAAATAATGCTTGGAACTCTTGTTTATTCATGGAATTTATTTTGCCAGTGTATTTTCATTCTCCTCTTATCCATGTAATTTGCACCTCATTTTCACAGTCACGGACTTTCCTACCAAATTTGGGTCAATGACCTGCATGTGGAAAGAAGGTGTAATATGATACTCCTCTTGTGGTTTCTTGTCCTGACCCTGACTAAACAGGGCACATGTGGGGAGTCACTCACAACCTGCCAAATAAGATTTATGTCTTCTTAACTGGCTGTCAGTCTTGCTGGGGGGAGGGGGAGCCCTTGTCAGCACTCATTTGTTCTGCCTTGTTAGCCTCCATAGCAGCTGCACGCCAAAATCTGGGGGGTTTGGGGGTCTTCAGGGTCTTTGGGATCTTATATGTGCTATTTTCTGATGCATATAGACAACATAGCCAGCCTGGTTGAATTACCCCCATTTTTAGAACTGGGCTAATCAGAAAACAGTCGAAGACCACCAAACCCCCAGTTCTATAAGCCTGCTATATGGAGGCTACCGCCTTGTTATATTAGCTCCTGAACTGTGCATATCTGGGGGTGCTACACTAGAGATCTCTCAAAAACCAAGGAGGTTAAATTTTGCTCAAACACATTGTTTTCTGAGTGGTGGATATATCAAGTAAACTGGCAGATAAATATTTATAATGGAAGTAAATCAGATTGGAGGTACAGAGTTGTAGTTTGGATTGTAATAGACAGTTTGCAGTGCCAATATCTATTGTGTACTGTTATGTAGTCATCACACTTTTAATGAAATCAAAACACACCAGTGACAACAGAATGAGTTGAACTTCATATTTACTTAAAGTATCATGATTTCCAACAGGGTTGAAGCAATGTAGCAGGACTAGCACAACAGTTTGGAATTACAATTCCAGAAAATGACTGCATGCCTACCATACACTGAGAGTGATTTAGCTTGATTGTTACAAGTATGATAACTGGTTTATTATTCACATAGACATACAGGTTAAAAGTCTGTGGTAGCCTAAATGGCTGAATTGCCGACTTCTTACAATTTAAAATGAATACAGCCTTACACTACAATGTACATATACATAATGAAATACAATTTCAACAGTACGACCTAATTTCAGTAGTAGGACCTGCTGTCATATTTTTACGTACCAGAAATGCCTGGACTGCTAGTAGGTATCACATGTAATCAGGTCACAAGGAACTAGATTCAATAGGCTTGATAAAAGATCAGTCTGACACAATATAAGTCATGGGGAGGGCAGCTGTCCCGATCGGGTTTGCTATCAATGGCTTTTCCTTATTTGGTCATAGCTTATCATTCAGTACGATGCAAGCAGCAGTGCATGCTGGTCTGGGATCTTTAGAGGTCTTTGTAGGGGATCGTCCAAGTCTGGATTTGGACATTTTTTTTATCGTGTGCCTGTGTGTTGCGTTTTTTTTAACGTAGCTTTACTTGCAGCTCTATTCCTTTAGAGCTGTGATCGCAGAAGGGTGGCAGGGGACAAGAAAAGTTGTCTTGATAAACTGTCTGACGCTCAATCAGTTGTCAATTAAACCCAATTAGAGCCATCAATGGTGTGAAAGGGGAACCAGCCTCATTTCACATGCAAATCCTATTCAAACATTGTTCGGACGCCACACTAACGGGGCATCCATGCCTCAGAAACGTGAGCTCGCTGCCCAGTTTTTCCCTTTAATTCTCCTGTATTTTAAAATTAGGGACTAGGAAACACACAGGACAAATCTAACAGTTATAACTCTACCAGAACACAGTAATACGATTGGAAATAATGAAGTGCTAGCGTTAAAACTGGGCAGAATTTTGGTCGCAATCTAGCCGCAGCACTACGCGGCTAAACGAAGAAGTGGGCGAAAAAGAGAATCTTTGTTTGTTATCGCTTCTCGGCCTTTTGGCTAAGATCAAGTGTAGTATCTGTTCTTATCAGTTTAATATCTGATACGCTCCGCATCGCGGAGCCATATATTAAATTGATTTTTGGAAGGAGGCTATGGACTAGGTGCTTGCACCATCCTAGCCACGGGTTGGCCCGGTATTGCAGTACCTCCGGGATCGGCCCACCCCTAAGGGGGTCTATCTATAATCTAAAAGCAGTCAACACCACACCACACTTAACCCTAACCCTAACCTTACCTTTCTCCTACAAGTTTTGTCCGTAGACACCACACCCCTCACTGGATCTATAGTTTGAGTTTCAGTTTAGGCCCCAGCAAGTAAATTTTATGGATGATATCGTTGGCAGACTATCTATAATCTAAAAGCAGTGAACACCAACACCAACACACCTTACCCTAACCCTAACCAGTCAAACCTGTGCTAGCAGTCACTTAAGCAGCAGTGAACACCCTAACCCTAACATTTCTCCTACTATAGTACAGTCAAACCTGTGAACACCACCACACCTACCATAGCCCTCACCCTAACCCTTCTCCTACAGTACAGTGAAACCTGTACTAGCAGTCACTAAAAGCAGTGAACACCAACACACGTAACCTTTCTCCTACTAGCGTGTCTTGTCTGTAGACACCACACCTCTCTCTTCTCAGTCACACCTTCACTGGATCTATAGTTTGAGTTTAGGCCCCAGGAAGTAAATTTTATGGATAATCTAGGGCGAAAAAAAAACAAGGTGGGCCAGGTAATATGATATAATATAATATAAAACTCATTTTTCTTCTACAAAACAGAAAACACAAGTGACAACCACGCTGGTCCCGAGGGAGGGAAGAAGCACCATCTTTGACAATGACGAGGGACATACAGAGCATCGAAACACCGGTATGTCTTTCAGCAAGATCAAGAAAGAGCTGGAGAAATCTACAGGCAGTGTAAGAGGCCGGGGTGCAAGACGTAAGCATGCCTTTGTCGACAGAAGCCAGGCTGAAGAAGGAAGGAGGTTTGAAGGAAGGTGTAAGATAGCCACCAGGGAAGAGTCATTCTTTGAAAGAAAAGACATTTGAGAAAGTTGACAAGAGGAGTGATAAAAGTGGAGCAGATTTTTGTCAGTCCCATCCAAAGAAATTCGAACGACGTAGGCATGCCTTTGAAGATAGAAGTCAGAATGAAGAAGGGAGGAGGTTTGAAGGAAGTTGTAAGGATAGTCACCAGGGAAGACGTCGTTCTTTCAAAGAAAAGACGTCAGAGAAAGTTGACAAGAAGAACAAAGCACATTCAAGACCTGGACAGAAGTATACTACTAGTACCTCACAGCATGAGACGAAGAGGTCACCCGAGGACAAAGGTGAGAGGTCAAGTACATGGCCGCCAGTGTTCACCTATGCTCAAGTCCTCACAGAGGGAAAGTCGCAAAGAGAAGGTGGTGGTAAAGGAGTGACTAAATCTGCACCTAAAGACAGTACAGGAAAAGAGTCTAAGACAAAATCAGTACACAAGGCACAGAGGGCTGATCGGCAGTACAGATCTGAACATGACACAAGGAATGGGACCGAGGAGCAAGCTGTTGGCTTAAATACTAGTGAAGACAACAGGAAAGAAGATTTCTGTACACCCCATCCAAATGAAGCCGAACATTCTGGGAACAAGAAATCTGCACCTAAAGACAGTACGGGAAAAGAGTCTAAGACAAAATCAGTACATAAAACACAGAAGCCTGTGCGGCAATACAAGTCTGAACATGACACAAGATATGGGACTGAAGAGCAAGCAGTTGGCTTTAAGACTAAAGACAACAGGAAAGAAGATTTCTGTACACCCCATCCAAATGAAGCCGAACATTCTGGGAACAGGAAATCTGCACCTAAAGACAGTACGGGAAAAGAGTCTAAGACGAAATCAGTACACAAAATACAGAAGGAGGTTGTTCAGCAATACAAGTCTGAACATGACATGAAGAATGGGACTGAAGAGCAAGCAGTTGGCTTTAAGACTAAAGACAACAGGAAAGAAGATATCTGTAAGTCCCATTTAAATGAAGTCGATCGGCAACATGCTGGGAACAGGAGAAGGCAGAACCATTGGCCAGACCTCTTCAAACAAAGGCCGAAAAGAGAGAACCAACGTCATCAAAATGAGAGAAAGGACCTGAGAGATTCGGAGGAGTCCAGGGCAAAAGGTTCCCCTAGCAGCCTTGAAGAAAAAGGGCAGAACCAGTGTCCTGACCACTTCAAACAGAGACCAAAAAGAGAGAACCAACATCATCAAAATGAGAGAAAGGAGTTGAGAGATTCAGAGGAGTCCATTGCAAAAGGTTCCCCTAGCAGCCTTGAAGTGAAGTGCAGGTGCGGGCTCCAAGAGAAACTACCAAGGAGCAACTTTCGTAAACAAAACACCAACCAGAGGCCAAGGAAGCAAAAAAACTTCGCAGAAAAAAAGTGCTTCTGTGGACTACCCCATGTAGAAGAAGATATCCCAAAATCCAACAAGTCTTCACAAGTTGCAAGTTCTGGGAAAATCTCGGAGGATTCAGCGAGAGGTCACTTGAGGTCACGACCCTCCTCAGCCAAATATGGAGTACTGAGCACCCAGGATGGAAGGAAGAAAAGAGACGGACCAAAAGACGAAAGGAAGACAGACAAACCCAAGAAGGATGCGCAAGAAGAAGGTCTAGATGTCAGCATTGAGGAGTTGCTACCATACAAGAATGACGCCTACAAGTACCTGTTCACCCCCGTTACCAACATGGACTCTTCCACTGCGGAAGAGTATGATAAACTGATAGTCATGTATAACCAGGAGTATTTCCAACAGAAAAAAGGAGACTGATACAGAAACAGCCACCTTTCAGAAGCACGTCGGCAGAACCCCGTATTTTCGCATTTTCGTTGGGTTTTTGGTCAACGTTGCATCAGAATTTTTCCCGTAGCAGAGGATATTCTTTCCGACACAACATTTGGAAACTACATGTACTGTCGAAATGCTAACCTTATATGAGCAAATACAACCTTATATGAGACGTTCTGCCGAAATGCTATGTACAATACATTACGGGTTTCGCGCAGGTGCAGTACGTTCTGCAGACGTGCTCCTTTCAGATGTTGTCACAAAAAAAACTTGAAATGATATGTATACCTGTAGAAGGGTTTGAAAAATTGGCAAGCATTTGTTGTGGAGTGTTGTTGCCGCAGACACTTAGCCTCTACCAGGCTTCGGGAGGCGGCTGGAAAGAGTAGAAATCGGCCAAATAGAGAGATAACATGCCGCGGGAGTTTGGTCGGTTTGCCGTTCCCACTCTGCACACTGAGAGCGGCAAACTGTTCTCTCCTGCAGACCAACTCCCGCGGCATGTTATCTCTCTATTTGGCCGATTTCTACTCTTTCCAGCCGCCTCCCGAAGCCTGGTAGAGGATAGCAAACACTGGACTGAGAATGGTAAATAGAGATGACTGGTACACTGATTTTCTTTTTAGTTTCCCCACATTATAGAACATAACTATAAACATAAAGAAGGGCTCGAAATACTTCTCTTAGCCCAAAGCTTAGTACATGTAGGTTGCCCTCAACATTGGTCGTTTATTTTCCGACACAGGTTGTAAGTCAGGCCAAGTGTCAGCCCAAATCTTCATGTAAGTTGCCTATCAATATTTCAGGTTGCCATCAACATCGGTTGTTTATTTTAGGAAACATGCTGTAAGACAGACCTTAAGTCAATTAGTAGCTCACATGCTGACCTTACAGGACACACTATATTTCAGAAGCCAAAAGTTGGGTTGCCCTACGCTTTTACAAAGTCACTTTATTTGTATTACCTCACCTCACCTCACCAGTTCCAAGAAAAAGAAAAAAAAAATTTCTAGCATGCCGGGCAGCCTGGCTTCTCAAATAAGTCTCGTATAGGAGCATAACTTGCATGGCGAGAATGCAAGAGCAGGTACTTCAAACCCTTTGAAGTTTTTCAAAGAGAGCTTGAGGCCCCACACAAAGTTAGGTTGGAGCCCATATACATCAGTTGTTTAGTACACACTCTTTTACCTTAGATTACAATTTGATTGAGTCCAAAACACAAAAGTCAGACAGGAAATAATTACTAAACCTACCAAAAGCTGGCAAACTTTATAACTACATGGTAATGTTTTGTACGTAAGGCCTAAGAAAAAAAAATGTTGTGCTTCCTGTTTCCGGACCGACCCTAGGAAATACTGCCGACCCTAGCCTTTTTTTGGGCTGATGGACCTTTTCTAGCTCCATGGTCTGAAACCTGAGTGCTGATTTAAAAACGTTGTACAATCGGTTTTCCAACATTAACATAGAAAATATAAGTGTCCTTGTGCAAGTTTTACTTGAATTGTTAAACTGTACTGTATAAGTTGGATCACTGGAATTCGCCAAAGTAAAAAAAAAAAGATAATTCCTACCTACCGACTTTTTCAGGACTGAAACAGGAAACACAACTTTTTTTTTCCAAGGTCTAAAAGTGCTGAATTTGTACTGAAAAAAAGTGCAAAATCTCAGGGAAGTAATATGACAGAAATGTAGAAAATTATTACATTGTGTAACTAAGGCCACACCAATTTAATTTGTTGGTTCTCGGATTTTTTCAGAAAAAATATGAAGCGACAGGGCGAAAAAAAATAAAAATAAAAACAGGTCTAGGCATCCTATTATAGGCTTAAATGCTACAGAATGAGCCATGAAGTCAACACAAAAGGCCGGGTTAAAATTTAAACATTGAATTTTGAACTTTTAATCAAACCACTGCAATGATAGATGGGAAAACTGTAACAACTAGGAAGAAAAGGACTTTCCTCAACTGTTGGGGGCAAAACATGAGCATTTTTCAGTTGATTCAGGACCAGAATCAAATTTTTTTGCAAATCAGAAAAAACGAAGAGGCGAATCCGAGAACCAACAAATTAAATTGGTGTGGCCTAAGTTACTAACTGTGAGTTAATGGTTCTCAGTATGTATTAGATGATATGTAATCAAGTAGGCTAATCATGAGTTTCTAGTAACAAATACTAACAACAAATTCTAATTTTCTAATAAAAGTATTATACAGTATTATAATCACCACTTAGGCCACACCAATTTAATTTCTTGGTTAACCGATTCGCCCGCTTCATTTTTCTGATTTGCAAATAAAAATAAAAAGTCAGAATCAACTGCAAAATGCTCATATTTTGCCCTGAACAGTTGAAAACAGTCCTTTTCATCCTAGTTGTTACAGTTATTCCATCTTTCAATGCAATGGTATCATTAAAAGTTCAAAATTCATTGTTTAAATTTTGAGTCAGCCCTGGTGTGTTGACTTCATGGCTCCTATCATACCATCTTGGGCCATAATAGGATGCCTAGGCCTGTTTTTATTTCGCCCGCCCTCTTAATTCTTTTTCTAGAAAAATCCGTTAACCAAGAAATTAAATTGGTGTGGCCTTATAATAGAAGCACTAAGGTTAGATATTTGTTATTCTGTTTCTTCACAGTTTCTCATATGTTAACATAACAGTTTGAAGATGACCATATGTCAAATATGTAAAAGATCAGCAATAAAACTATGATAAATAAAAGCATATTTGGCAGAATGGCTCTTTAATTTGTCCAAATACATAATCTACTAGGCTTCAGAAGCAGCTGAAAAGAGTAGAAATTGGCCAAATAGACAGAAAACATGGCAGGGGACTGCACAGGGGGAGATTGTGTTACAAAAAAAATTAAAATTAATTAACATCAGAATGAAGGTAAAACTTATATGAACTCTCACTGTACATTATAGCTTTTGCTGCAGCACCATAGAAAGCTGCTAGGAGGCCTGAAATTGAATTTTATTTTGTTGTTTTGTGAACACGTACCAACACCCCCACGTCCCTCAAAAAAGATTGCTAAATATTGGTAGGTAAAATATTGGTACTACTAGGTAAAGTGATGAAATACTGGTAACCCTCTTATGTCCCTCAAAAAAAGATTGGAACAAAATATTGGCAGGTAAAGTGATGAAATAACCCTCTTATATCACGCTACCAGTTTCTTTACTCCAGCCTACATTGTGCAATACAACACAGAGTTGGTCCGGAGCCGTTTCATATGCATGTGCCCATAGCACACTGCAAATGAGAAAATTCCCAAGTATTTTGAGCGGGAGTTACACGTTGTAAAATACCAAATCTCCAGACAATCAAAGTGTTTTCGAGCAAAGCTCAGAGCGATGATCAGAACCAGTTTTGGTGCGGCACGCGATGGCCGCTAGTCCGTCGGACGGTTCAGCTAAAACCGTCAGGGCGGCTTTCCCGCGAAAATCCACGCGTCCGGCAGGGATACAGGACCGACCTCTGCCTCCACTCCCTCTCGACGACGTCGCAGAAATGCAGGACGAAGGCCGCAGCAGCCACGGCGAGGGGAGGGGAGAAACTGGCTCCTCGTCTCCTCCAAATCTCGCCGAGCAGGCTCCGGAGGTGCCGCCTCACCGCGTCGAACAGCCTCCGAGTCCGCCGCCCCGCCGCTTCGGATCCGGACGGTCTCTGGGGCGACCGCCTCAGCTCTCCGGTAGAAGGGCAGATGGGTATGACAACCTGCCACGGAGGCAAGACCACAAACACGTGCATAGGAATCAGGTGTACTCGGCAGGTTAGTTCTAATCTTACTAAGTAGCATGGTGATATTGAATGATTTCATTGTATACCATTTTTAGTTTCAGCCTTTTTAGCTTTCGTCCGCTCCCCACCATTTGCTACCAGTAGTGGCTAAAACTCAGGCTACCATTTTTCTGATTTATTCTACAAAATTAAATGCAGGTGCCACACACGAGTACACGCCTCTGAACCGGAACACTCGCAGCACCCCACCCGGCCCCTCTACCCCGAGGCCAGGAGGAACAACTGATGAGGACCCTCAGCACTCCGGACAGAGCCATGGAAAAAGGGCAGATGGATACGACAATCTGCCACAAACGCAAGACCACAAACATGTGCATATGAATCCGGTGTACACGGCAGGTTAGTAACAATGTTACCATGGTATAAGAATGATTAAATTGTAGTTGTAGTGTATGTATGTCTTGTTGTATGTATGTCTTGTTGCAATAGAGTCTAGAAAGGGAAACATGTAGAAGACCTAATGTCATAGTCCAGTTAGGCCACACCAATTTAATTTGTTGTTTTTCGGATTCGCCCTGTCCATTTTTTTCTGTTTCAAAAAAAAGATTTTAGGTTCTAAATCAACTGCAAAATGCTCACTGAAAGACATATTTTGGGCTCAACGGTTGAAGAAAGTCCTTTTCTTCCTAGTTTTTCAAGTTTTTAGAGTTTAGAAGGGGAAACATGTAAAAGAATGTTTCGATCTTAAAGACCACATGTTAGAGAATAGTTAAACCTTTATTGTTACCGCATACATATACTCTGTACCTACATGTAAGATGACGTTATTCACACATGTATTAGCTTCTGTACAGTATTATAATCTTTGTTTAATTCTCATTAATTCTAAACAGCAAATCATACTGATAGCAAAGGTGCCCTAGCACAGAAGGCTATATATTAAATACTGTACATGTATACCATTTTTCTATTGATTATACAAATGACCTGCACTTTTCATTGTATTAAATTTGACCACATTTTGTGCCTGCACTTAGATTGTTTGTATATATTTGTTATTTATTTGTTATTTTGTAGTATTAAATATTTTTTGTTATTTTATGTTCAATGGCAGCGATTATTCAATGTTAATTAACTTGAGTGCATCACCATTGCTGTCTTGTGTTTCTTATTTTGTTACGCCTTGATAAAAAAATGAAGCCGCCACACAAGAGTATACCATTTTTCTAGCCTGAGTGTCAGCCTTTCTGGCTTTCATCCGCTCCGCAAGATTCCCTACCGGTAGTGGCTGACACTCAGGCTACCATTTTTCTTCTTTCTTCTACACATGCAGGTGCTGCACACGAGTACGCGCATTCGATCCCGGATGCTCGCAGCGCCCCGCCTGGCCCCTCTAACCCGAGGCCAGGAGGAACAACAACCACCACCGACGGGGGCCCACCAGACCCAACCGCTGCACACGTGTACGATGGGGAACGTGCCCCCCCTCCCCTGATGCCACGAGGACCAACCAACACCGACAGGGGCCCTCCCCCCCCTCCCCCGACGCCAGGAGGAACAACAACCACAGACGGGGACCCCCCAGACCCGACCGCCGCACACATGTACGAGAACGGGGACGAGTTCAGGCAGGGGCTCGGGCCGCCGCTGAGCCGCGACGTTCTCGGCGCCCCGCCTGTTCCCTCTTCCCCGAGACCAGCGAGAGGAGACGATGGGCCAGCCGACGGTCAGGCGGACAGCCCGGACCAGCCTCCAGGTAGGGGAGTGGAATCCCAGTTTTCAGAAAACTGTTTTATTAGTTTGGTGAAGCATAGGATATATAGGAGTTTTCTTTTACACAACCACTATTGTCTCTTACCATGCTAACATTTTGGTATCTATCAGACACCTTGCTCAGAGCTTCTGACTGGAGTTCTGCTTCTCGCAGATATATGTAGCCGATATAGGTGGCGCTTTGTTGTGGCCCTTTTATCCTATTCTCTACCAACCTGATGAATTTTTGGGTGTAGAATCCCAGTAGTCCTCAAAATTTAGATAGAACAGAAAAATTTTTATACATTATGGAATATAGAGAAACCGTGTATTACCAGCTTCACAAGTTCATACATCTTCAACTGTCTTAATATAATAACCGTGTTTGATTTTACACCCTAAATCTATTCTTTATATTGTGTACTTAGTATCAAACAACTCTCTCAACACGGTAATGCAGTTTACAAAACAGGCTTAGAAATAATGCATTACAACTGTAATTCCTGTTTTTTTTTACTGTACTGTAACTGTTTTTCACTGTCATTTCTGTACCGTGAACAAATAATTTCTGGACTTTCTTTTTTCTGCACCTGTCACCACTGTGTATATATACTAGTAGTTCCAGTTCTAGTGAATGTGTCCTTTTTTCTCCATGAACTTTTGCTACCGTAAACATAAACTGTGAATTACAGTATTTTTCTCCTTCTCATAGATAACCCAGAAGAAGGACGATCCATCTGGGAACGACTGCGCGATCGTTGCCCAGGCCGAAATCGGCTTCATCATCGTCATCATCATCACGTCTGTCATCATGGTAACACTGATGGTACACGTGATTCTGATGCACACCGGCTCCCCAACATCCCACCTTGACTCGGTAAGTTTGCTCGCTTGTTTGAACATCTTACAAAAGATACCTTTCTTGCATGCTTACTCTAGCCTAGGTACCATCCTGGTTAGTTTACGTCTGCTCCCACAGTCGCTACCGACCAACCAGTCTGGGACCAGGACTGTGGGAGCGGACATAAACTAACCAGGATGGTACCCAGGCTATGCTTACTCACTCAGGACACAAATTTTGAGTTGTGAAACTTATTTCGTTTGGGTAATTTATTGCTTTTATTATGTAATGTTATGTGAAAATAAGTCAAATAAAAAATCAATAGTACATTGCATATTTAGTCCGAAAGAGATAGGCTTGTGAAAATAAAATCCTTCAAATAATACACTAATTGTGATACACTGATGAATTCAGTGTTAAATGTTTTAAAAGCGGCGCACTCGGTGCATGCGAAATGCGTTCGAATAATGAAACATTTGTAAGCTGTACCTATGGAACATTTGTAAGCTGTACCACAAAAACAAACAAACTGCAGGCTGTACCGCTAGTTATCACACACCCTTATCGAACGTAATCGCGGGCCAGGTATAACATAAATGACCATATGATATTGTAACTCATATATTGTTTGTAATAGTAGTTTGTAGTTACTGTAATTGTTTATTTATTTGTTTATTTATTACAATTTACCACATACACATGTACATGGAAGGCATGGTGGAACAGGTGGACCTAAGCACACCTTTTCAAGGCCACCATGCCAACAATTGTAAGATAGTTTAGTTTTGTAGTAGTGTTTTCCTACTGCCACACGTTGTACCATGTACAACTGTCCAGCAATAAAGTTCATTCATTCATTATCTGTTTGTAGCCTGTGCCCACCAATGGAGGAACGGACACCACTGACGCTACTGGACATGCCTGGCAGAGCTCTGCTGAACCGAGGACTGTGACCTTGGCTGACATCATCAAGGTCAGAAGCTGTCCGATTAGGCGACACCAATTTGATTTGTTGGTTCTTGGATTTTTTTCAGAAAAAGTATGAATATTGTAAATTATGTCATGTGTGATGGAATGTTTCTTTTTAAAGTCTTTAATCCTTTGAGATATTTGATATTGAATTGTAAAGTACAGATAGATATTTTGAGTCTCCCAGTGCTAATAAAGTTTCTTATGTTAGTCTTATGTCTGTGTCTGAATTTTGTAAATAACCGTCACACAGGTTGATCCGGCCCGCGGGCATGGCCCTCCTGACCCAGTCCCTGGGAAAGTGGAGACTGACGGACCTACCCGAGCCACCATGGCCAGACCGCTTTCCGTGGACACTAAAGGTTTGTCATTACTTACTGATTGCTGATAGCTGCTATAACCACCCTTCAGCATAACTCACCAGCTTTTGTATCTGTATAGCCGGTACAACCACCCTTCTGCGTAACTCACCAGCTTTTGTATCTGTATAGCCGGTACAACCGCCCTTCAGAGTAACTCACCAGCTTTTGTATCTGTATACTAGCCGGTATAACTGCTCTTCGGCGTAACACACCAGCTTTTGTATCTGTGTAGCCAGTATATTAAACTGCCCTTAAGCGTAACACACCAGCTTCTGTATCTGTATAGCTGGCATAACCGCCTTTCGGTGTAACACACTAGCTTCTGTATCTGTATAGCCGGTATAACTGCCCTTCAGCGTAACACACCAGCTTCTGGATCTGTATAGCCAGTATAACTGCCCTTCGGCGTAACACACCAGCTTCTGTATCTGTATAGCCGGTATAACTGCCCTTCGGCGTAACACTCCAGCTTCTGTATCTGTATATTATAGCCGGTATAACTGCCCTTCGGCGTAACACACCAGCTTCTGTATCTGTATAGCCGGTATAACCGCCCTTCGGCGTAACACACCAGCTTCTGTATCTGTATAGCCGGTATATAACTGCCCTTCAGCCTAACACACCAGCTTCTGTATCTGTATATTATAGCCGGTATAACTGCCCTTCGGCGTAACACACCAGCTTCTGTATCTGTATATCATAGCTGGTATAACTGCCCTTCGGCGTAACACACCAGCTTCTGTATCTGTATAGCTGGTATAATTGCCTTTCAGCCTAACACAGCAGCTTCTGTATCTGTATAGCCAGTATAACTGCCCTTCAGCGTAACACACCAGCTTCTGTATCTGTATAGCCAGTATAACTGCCCTTTAGTGTAACACACCAGCTTCTGTACGTGTATACGTACTTTCTACTCCTTCCAGCCACTTCTAGAAGCGTGGTAGCGGCTAAGTAAGGAACTGGCATTTTCTGACAAAGCTCCTTCTTTTGTATCGCTGTAGAAGTGCCTGTGGGAAGCAGCAGCGCACGGGTCATCACCTTTGGTGACGCGTCGGGGCCTGGAAACCTGCGCGGCGCACGCGCGGTTGCAGTTTCCAACGACAGCAAGATCTGGGTGGCCGACCAGACCAAAGCGCGCGTCCAGGTGTACAGCATGGAAGGTGCCTTCCTGCGCCACTTTCCCCAAGCTGCACCGTACCCAGGAAAGAGGCTGTTTGACGTGTCCTTCGACAGAGATGGACAGATCTGGGTCCTGATGAATGGATACCCTACCAGCGCTGACACGATGGTGAAGATCGACAGGGAGGGCGAGTCTCAAAG